TTCGGAAATTTTCATTTTTGAATTTATTCGATATTCTTTCGTTCGATGAAAAATTTCGAATTTTCCCAAGTATACTAGGCCTCATACGCGTACCTCTCGTAAGTGTTTTTCAGTTATGTTACCCATGCTGTATGGTAATGCCATATTTCTGCTATTTTAAGCAGGGAATGCAACGTGACTTTCCAATCAAACTATTATATCAATTGATTCTATCTCAGGATAATGTGCTTGTTATCCTTTATACACTCTGAACACCTCTGGTCCATCTATAAATGGGTCCAGAAGTGAATGATGGTTTGTTTCTTGGGTGTACTATGATGTATTTATATATCATATGAGCAATATATACTAGGTTGTTGCATAAGTTCGTAGAGTTTTCATTTTCGTCCTCATATCTTTAGAGACCGGTTGATTTGCAGCAAGATCCGTATATTATTTGGTAGGGCTAATTGTGCTTTCGATAATATCTCTGCTGATTCTGGTGAAAAGCTGATTTACTCGGATTTCGTAGCTTCCAAAGATGGGAATCTTGAAAGGCAAAGAGCAATTTTGGCATTTGCGCATTCTCCCTTATGAGAAGAAGCGCTTTCGCACAGGTTTTTTTGTCGTTATGGAACATGGCGCTCGCACCAATATGAGACCGAAAAAGATTGGATTGCTACAGAAGATCAAGGGCTGAGCAGGGTGTCCTAAACAAGATTTTCGGGGAAGAACGGGCAAGACATCTTGCACTGGAAATTGCTGTACAGGTAGGCGATGGTCAACCATAACATGAGCAATCCAACTGCACCGCGTCTAAACCAGGTCCTACCGCAGAAAAAGCCTAACAGACAGATCCAGTAAGTTTTTCTGCTTGACGAAACATGGCCTCATACGGCAAACGTCGTCAAAACTCTCCTGCTTGATTTGACTGGAAGGTATTTCAGTACCCAAAGTACTCTCCAAACCTTGCTCTATCAGATTATCATTTGCTCCGCTCTCTGGCAAACCTCATGAACGGCGCATGTCACGATTTCAGTAAGTAGTTTGACTGCTGGTTAGATGACTTTCTTGGGACCTGGCGCGCTGCCGTCTCAAAAATTGAGATTGAGAAGCTAACAAGAGTATGCGAAAAGGTCGTGCGCTACATCGAGGAATATAATATTGACTGGTTTTTGCTGAAAATTGACAATTCTGTTGGTTTACAAAAAAGCTACGAACTTATGGAACGACCTAATATAAATATAAATATGCATACGGACAGACAGCCAGCTATATCTACGAAATTATCCAGTCAAGGGTTGGCCATTTGGAATTTCAAGGACACGATATCATTCAATACCCAGGTTTGAGCATTATTCAAAACAAGTGGCCTTATTAATCAACGAAGTCTGATAAAAACTACCCTCAAGGGTAGGGTTTAACCTCAGAGGTTCACTGTATTTAACTAGGAGCCCTTGAAGGTAAGGTTTACTCCGGAAAGCGATAAACCCGTATTCATCAACGGACCTTAAAGGTAAATCCTACCCTTGAGGGTAAACCTTACCCCAGAGAGCGATTAACTCGTTTCATGAACGTGGCTCATCAGGATAAATCTAAAATCCTAGCATAGAGCAAGATTAGACTCATTCGGACACTTTGTATGAACATCAAGTAATTTCTCGATGCACTACTTGGTCCTAGCAATACTGTTTTGATAAACACATATTTATGGTATCTCAAACTTCCTACGTACTCTTTTCGTGTTTTCATTTGATGTTATCATCATTATATTCACCGAGTTGAAAAGATTAAGTTTTGAATAAAGTACATTTCCAAACAATGACTTTGATATGGAGAACATCAAGCTCAACAACTCGAAATTTTCGTTATGGAACTCCCTCATTGAAATTTAATCCACTAATATACTCCTTCAGTATAGATTTGAAACATGATTGAATTATCGCAGCTCAACTAAAACTTGAAGATGAACAAAATACTAAAAAAAATCTATACTAGTTTTTGTGATATGTATCATAACAGTATCGTTGAGATTGAGTGGTGCATCAAGAGATCACTTTATGTTTATCGAAGTCTCAGAAATTTAACCTTGCTCTATGCTAGGGTTAAATTTACCTTGATGAGTCACGTTCGTGAATACGAGGTCGCTTTCTGGGCTAAGGATTACCCTCAGAGTCGTTGATGAACACAGGTTACCATTTTCCGGGGTAAAGTTCACCTTCAAGGATAGGTTTAATCTTTGAAGTTTATGATATCTAAGGCAAAACTTACCCTTAAAGGCGAGGTTTACTCTCAGGGTTCGTTGATGAATACGCCACAGACTTCGAAGTATCTATGCTAAGAATTGCTAAGTGAAAGAGGCGTACACTTCCATCAGTGGTCGTTTAAGACAGCAAATTCAAATTGAATTCAATTTCCGTCAAATTGAGGGATGCCGGGCTAGACCTCTTACCTCAGCGATGGCTGAAGATAGCGAAAAGAGGGTCCGCTAAGCCTAAAATTTGCCCAGGAAGCGGCTAGGATTAGAGAAGGTCAGTACTCCTCTCTTTCGAATTGCAAGGCTACAGCGCGTATAGCGCAAACAGTCATGACCGCAGGGCCCGTAGCGACTCTGCATCTTAGCCTTGACAGGCTTCGCGTGCTCGCGTCCTAATTCAGACATGGGGTTTAAGAAAAATACGTTTTATCTGCAAGCTGCACAGTAGGAATCAGTAAAACGTATAAGCCCCGGGTAAGCGGGAAATCTTTAGAATCAGGTTCTGCCGAGACGTCGAAGTGTCAGTTCCTGCGCATTATCTCATGGATTTCGTACAAAAAATTTAATTTAACAGTTGAAAGGAAAGATTAAGTTCATTCAAAACATCCCTTTCGTGCCTCCAGCTACATGGTGCTTTCGATTGATGTTCTGCCAGGTGATGAGCGAGAGACCGGAAAGTGTGGTTACAAAGAGGGCAAAGTCTATGTATTCAGCGAGTACGGATGGATGACACAGAGTTGACACAAATTTACCTGAGCGGTTCAAATGTCTGTGCGCCATCTTTGCAACCATTAATATTCTAATAATAAAAACCTCTTAAAACAATTCAAAAGATCATTTTCTGCTTTCTATATCTATTTCTACACGATGCACACTAAAAAAGAGTGCAAAAGTTTTTGAATTTTTTCGATATATTTTCAACCCAATTTGCAAACGCTAAAGGTGCCGTGCCTCCACGTGAGAGACGGTGCAGAAAAAACTCTAAGAAATTGTAGGAAAGGAGAGGCCCAAGTGGATGCAGTGAAAACATTAGAAAAAAATTGGAGAATTGAGTTATTAAAATCTGTCGTGAATTTGTTGATTTGTGCATTTGTGAAATCAATCATGGTGATAAATAGACCCTGTTATGCCTTGGGTGTGACGCAAACTTCTCCGGAAGCTTCTGAGATTTCCCAGAAAAAAAATAATGTGATAAGAATTATTAGAGAACCTAATATTCTGATTCCCTTTGCTTCAAATGTTTTGTCTTTCTAGTCCACACAAATTTCTTGGTAATGAAAAGCGAGTTTGTGGAAATTGTGATGCTTATATCAAACTTATACAATCAGCTTCAAATTGAGTGGGTCAGCAGAGCAAGATTACCTGGAGTCGTGTGCTGTTTGAACTCGACTGGATGAACGAAGTGTTGAGAATTAGAAATTTTTTCTATTGATCTAGTAAAACCTTTCCCTATTTTCCAACATAAGAGCCAAGCGTTATTTTTATTGAGGTGCTAGCCTACATATACCCGAATGAGACAAACATTTTGCCAACTTCTAGTGAAACTTCGTTGAGCAGCTGACTGGATTAATACGTTACATCCTTGTTAACGTCAGCACTCCCCTTTCTCAAATCTAACGTTTGCAAAGGAATGTTTTTGCAATCCAAAATAGTAATTCAACATTGCTACTACGCTGAAAATGTTGTTGGTGAGGATAAGATGTGTGAGACTTTCTCTGATTCTGCCTAAACGATTTCGTACGAATTTGTAGACATTAACACAACGGAGGAAGAAAGAAAACAAAAGTTTAAGTCCAATCTCGTTACATCCCTATAACTATCGCTAAAATAAGCGATAAGATCGCCACAGTAAGTTGAGTTTTGTCGCGGCAGTGTTCATTTTGAGATATCATCTTCTGAATTCTGTAGATTCTCAAAAGTACCCTTACCTTGCCTTTTGCTAGGGCTAGAGTTTGCATATTACCGTAACTCAAGCTAGAGTACAAAATTATGAATGATAGAAGCTAACTCCTAAGGTAGTTTTTACCTTTAGATACTCTTCCCTCCACACTGAAACATTTTCGGGCTATAAGTAACCTTGTAAATTCACCTCTAGCTACATCGTAATACGGGTTTTGAGTGTTAAAATTACCTGAAAGTAGCAATTACTATAATATCCATGCTAAATATGGTCACTGCTTAGATAGTGGAATCCTTGGAAGGGGGAGACCACGAACAATACACATCCCTGGAACCGAGATATGAAGCATATTTTCTAGCTCTCTCACCTTTCACGGGAGGGGGATGTACGAGCACAAGTTCCTGAGATCTTCTCTAATTGAACCTTCACATACTGGGTGTAAAATTTTATTAATTACTAGTTGGCAAACCCGGCTCCTCCCGGCCCTGTCATTAATATATTTGTATAGTGTGGACCCCGGCCAGCTTCCCATAGGTACCTCCGCGATGCGTGCGCAGCGCATGCCTTTAATGCGCTTTTTGTTTCAGCTCTACTAGATTTTTCTGCTTTATGCTCATTTGAGAACGAAAAACATAAAAAAGATCAGCGTCAAGTCATTGATGGAAAAATCAGAGCGGATGAGAGAGAGATTTTGTGTTTAATCTGTAACAACTGTAGTAGCTTATCATTTCGTAACTGTAGTGAGAATCTCAGTGTGCACCATTTTATAAGAACAATCTACTCGGAGGAGGCTGCATGATTTTTGACAGTGCCTCATACTTTAGCTTGCAAGCTGCTATTGTCTTCAGATATATTTTCCAGATTATGGGTGACGAGTACGAACAACTGGGGCCAACCGACGCGCCCCCGCCTCCTCCAGGAGCTGAAATTCAGCCGCCTCCTCTTCCTCCTCCTCCACTACCACCAGCTCTTCCACCACCGCCTCCACAGTCTTTTCCGCCGCGGCCGGTTCAACCAGCGTCCAAGACGGTGCAACAATCTGAATCCACAGAAAAGAGAGAGGGAGGAAAGGAGGGACATAAACATGAGAAGAGAATAAGGTTTGTAAGCCATAAGTAATTTCATTGCTCTCTTCCTAGATTTCAACAAGTACACCATTTAAACGTAGTCACTTGATGGTTAACTGCTATAAATCCTCGCATATCGTGCGAACTTCTTCAAATTTCAGACATAATGCGTGCCCACTGCAATCAGGTGGAGAGCAACACCATCTTAAAGTAGCCGCCCAAATTGGGGGGGGGGGGGGAGGCGGATACATCGGGAGAATTTCAAAAGTGGTTTGACAGATGTTCTTGGAATTCTGTTGACGCTATGATTCATTTTTGAAAAATGTTAGGCTGAAAACAGCAGCTCGCCAAAACCGAACATCCCGAGATTTCGTGGAAGGTTGCTTGCACCCTAAACATGAGAACAGAGCAGGTCCGAACGCACGGCATGCTGCCCTTGCCTAGAAACTGCCCCTAAATCCGTTACGTGCAAGTCATTCTAGTACGCGTTGACGAGCTTGCGATTCTCCCTGACCCGTTAGAGAAGACAATGCCGTAATGTTATAACTGCGAGGGTCCCGCAACAATTCTGCCTCTCTAACCATGGGGGGACGTGCTCCATTCGTCCCATTCAAAATAAGATGCCTTAGGAGATCGTGATTTTTGCCAATTTCGCGGTCTTCAAGATGGATTTTCTTAATCAGCGCCCCCAATTACCCAGGTAAGCAAAAAAACTTCGACTCGAGAATCAGCCGAGCCGCTGCCTTCAAAGACATCGGCTCACCAAGGGGTACCTGGCTCTGGTAGTAATGTAATAGTAGACCCCCAACTGAGCGACGGCAGAAGTTTGCAGCGCAAAAGGGGGTCTGCAAAGTTTTTGTAGACTTCGTAGACCCCCTTTCGCGCTGCAGACTTCTGTCGTCGCTTAATTAGGAGGTCTACTATTACACTAATACCAGCCAGGTACCCCCCGAACTGGTGGGACGCTGCCTTTAAGGACACCAGTATTGAGACGCAACCAGAAATTTCTTAGGGAATTTCTTAGGGAACTTAGTCACACCCTTCATTTAGAAGATTCCCTCTCCTCCATGACTTCTCACGCAGCCACTGCAATCTTGACCTGAAGTTTCAAATATTGCTTTGCAGCATAAGACAAGAAAACACGTTTGGCAGCACTGCAAAAGGAGAAGAAGAGCTTTTTGGGGAAAACCTGGATTTTGCATTAAAGAGAGACAATAAAGTAAGATCGGGCTTCGAGCAGATCTATGCAAAAATGAGTTTTTTTCCTACATCACTTGCATATCTTCAGGGTGATCGCAGCAGGAAGTTTTGTTGGATTTTTGTTTCCCTTGTCATTGTTTTGCCAATAGCTTTGATTATAATGCTCACGCTAAATCAAATAAGTCAAGGTGAATGGTTCCACTTCATCGATGTGATACTCCAGCGGAAAAGGAAATCATCATATACATTCTACGTCATTACAAGTGAGTCTGATCATCCTCCAGATAGTGACAACCAGCAAGTATACTGCTGGTTACTGCAATGCTCATTAGGTGCAAGAGAGCTAGCTTGTTCAAGTGCTTGCATGTTGAGTGTTAGACCTTGAGCAAGGCATCAATCGTCGCATGGTTGGCAACTTGCCAGATAAAGCATAGCGTTGCAAAGGGTTCTTGAGCTAAAGGGACATCCCAACAACCCTGTTCTTAAGTGTACAAGCCGCACCTTGACTGCCCTAAAGGCGACACTACAAAAGAACATAAAGGGGCCTTTTGCCATGGAGCGCATTGAATGAGGAAATTATGCGAGAGAGGGACCGCTTCGCAGAACAGCAATGCGCACGGGTCTGCACGCGTTCAGAGCATGGGTGCAGCCTACCTGTAAAGGGAGATGCATCGAGAATTTGGCGTGTAGTTAACGAATTTCATCGTGTGAATACAATGAGAGGGAGACTTTCGCGAGCAAAACATTTGAAAGTACAAGTCTACTTCAACCCGAAGTAGGCTAAAATTGACACGGTGCGAGTTCGAACCACCCTGGTTTTTCGCACCTCCACGGTTTGCTATAGATGGTCGTGTTAGGATTCGTCTGTTCACTTCCCCACTTTCTTCGATCTCTCTGGCGATGCTTTGCCCGCCATGCACGCAAACCCTTAAAGGCAGTGTCCGGGCAAAAACTCGATTTTGAGATTTTGTGCTTATCCGGGCCTATTCGCTACGCTGAATCCGAAAATGCGCATTGGAGAGCGCAAAAACGGCGAAAAAGGGCTCTACGCAGGAGGGAAATTGGAAGTGGGCGGGGTCCCCCACTATGAATTTCGCTGTCCCGGCTTCTGGAACGATTTTCTCAACTCCGCTATCCCTCTGAGATTTTCACAAGCCAGGTGCAAACGCAAGACTTGAAATCGGGACCGAGAAGATCGCTCCGGAAGCTTGGAGCGTGAATCCGCAGTGGGGAAGACCCCGCCTTTAAAGGCAGTGTCCGGGCAAAAACTCGATTTTGAGATTTTGTGCTTATACGGGCCTATTCGCCATGCTGAATCCGAAAATCCACATTGGAAAGCGCAAAAACGGCGAAAAAGGGCTCTAAATCAGGAGGGAAATCAGCAGGTGGGCGGGGCTTTCCCCAGTGCGATTTCACGCTCCCAGCTCTCGGAACGATTTTCTCGATTCCGCTAGCCGTCCTAACATCGCTACCGGTCAGCTGCGAATGACTGACTTGAAGTCGGAAGCGAGAAGGTCGCTCCGGAAGCCGGGAACGTGAATTCGCAGTGGGGAGGACCCCTCCCACCTGCTCATTTCCCTCCTGTGTTAGAGCCGTTTTTCGCCATTTTCGCGCTCTACAATGTGCATTTTCGGATTCAGCGTAGCGAATAGGCCCAAGTAAGCACAAAATCTCAGAATTGTACCCCTCACCGGGTTCTGCGATAGGGATTCTACGGCTCTAAGCCGGAAATACAGAACAAGAAAATCAAACAACAAAAACTTTACTACAGAACAACGACGAAAAACAACAAGGAACAAGACAAAAAAGAAAGCCCGATCAAGGCAACCGCATGAGATGAGAATGATATCAAGTCTGAGATCCTTCGCGGGAGAATGCGGGTCTCGGCGCGCACTTCCTAAATATCCCTGTGGTTCCCGCCATAACTTCGCTTCGCGGGCTTTTCGTACGTCGATCTATCGAACGGCTCCACGCCGATGAGGTCATCGGCTCCCCCCCCCCCCCCCCCTTCGGGAGCCGATGACCTCATCGGCGGGTCATTCCTCTTTAATTCAGGCAGCGTCATCTGTTTCGCGACTCTTCTTCTCACGGCCTCGTACAGTATCTTTGCGCAGGCGACAGGAAGATCCGAAGCACTGTAGTAGAACAAACAGCTTTCTGGTGCTCCTGCTTCAATCATAATCTTGCCGTCCTCCACCTTCGTTCCGGCAGTGACTATGCATTGTCCTGGTTTAGCCTGGTGCAGCGACGTCTGATCGAGGACTTCCCATAGTTCTATAAGCTTTTTCCATTCGTCCGCGATTTTCTCCATTATAGGGGGCCACACAGTCACGATTTTTCCACCTTCTTCAAACTGCTGCACGCACGTTTTCATTACCTCGCATAAGTCACTGTTCACTGCCAGTTGGTCTTTCGGCCAGACGATGACCCATGCGCGGTATTCCTTCCATTCCTGCAAGACTTCCTTTAGCTGGGTGAAGGTGGTGGCAACTCTTGTGAGAATGCCTCGCTTCGGACCATCTCGTTCCAATAACAGTGCTGACGCTGGAGCTGCAAATGCTGTGCCGCCTTCCTTTACCGGTCCATGGCCTTGTTCTTCGCCTTCTAATTCCATTTTGGCTCTTCTAAAGGCTGCATCGTAGATCCTGTCAAACTCGTAATTATCGATCCTTTCGTGGCGCCTTATTCCTTCGGTTTCGCAAATGAATTCAGTCCAGTCGATGCATCTTTTATACGCCACTCGCAATAGTTTCCTCAATCCATCTGGGTCCATACAAACGGCTCCATCCTTCCAGAACTTGATCTTTGAGGCCATGTCGATGTCAGTCCTTGCGAAGATGCTTGCGGCTTTCCAGGCCTTCCACAGATTTCCAATCGGTTCTTTTGCCAGTGCTCCAGGAAACTTTATTCCTTCTAACTCTCCAAGACAGACTCTCTTCAAGCATCCATCCTTACACTGGTACTCGAGGTGTCCTTTTTCGGTTTTGGATGCAATCACCGCACCTCTGAAAGAAAACATTGTTACTTTCTTTACACTAACTTTAGGTTTCCTCCCTCTTTTGCCCCTTTTAGTCACTGTATCTACGGGCTCATCGGAGATGTATTTTGGAACTATCCTTAACATATCAAACTGAACTTGTATGGGTTCCGTTTCTTCACCTATTCTCGTAATTAGCGCGGAATTTTGGCTTGTTTCTATTACTCGAAATGGTCCAGCCCATTCTGACACTAATTTCGGATGCGTGCTCATCCCTTTCTCTTTAGGAGCCAAAAGGTATACCCTGTCGCCTATCTTCGGAAGTTTTGCAGCATCTACCTTACTCCGGTGGTCATACAGACGCTTCATCTCCCTTCTCACTCTGTCATTGTACTCTTTCACACGCTCATGTGCCTCTGCTACAACTTGCAATAACTGCGCTTTGTAATCCGCCATGTTCTCTACCATGGAGTACCAAGAGAACCCTCCACTTGGGATTACTGCTGAGGGGAAATTTGGGTCCATGCCGTGAAGTACAAAATATGGACTTTCTCCCGTCGCACTATGTGGAGTAAGGTTGTATGCCATCATGCAAAACGGCAGTCTCGCATCCCATTCCACTGGAACCGCGAGGCTTTTACGCAGCATGGCCAGTATAGTCCCATTTAACCTTTCTGTTATACCGTTTTCTCGTGGATTATACCCCTTCGTAGTTACATGTTCGATTTTTGTAATTTTTGTGAGTTCTGCCATCACCTTATTTTCGAACTCTCCACCCTTATCAGATAATATTGTTTTGGGCCATCTGCATCCCTCTGCTATCCACCTTATGAATAAAACCTTTGCTATCGTTTCAGCCGTTTTGTCCGGAACCGGATATGCTGCCGCATACTTTGAGAAGTGGTCAATGACCGTAACAGCATATTTGTTTCCGCTTGTTGTCAGGCCAAGTTCCAGCACGTCAATCCCTATGATTTCGTACGGCTTCTCCGTAACGATTGGTTTCAGCGGTGGTCTCACTGTTGCTCTTGGGTTATGTAGAAAGCACCGTTGACATTCTCTTGTCCATTTACTTATGTCTGCTAGCATGTTAGGCCAGAACACCTGTTTCTTGAGTCTGTTCCATAACTTATGAGCACTAAAATGTCCGGAAAAGTTCCCCGCATGTGCTTCATAAAACACTTCATATCTTGCGGTTTTAGGTACTATCATAACCAAATTCCCTTCCTCCTGATACATCTTCAGTTCCCCGCTTTCGATCTCGAAATCGGCTACTTGTATAGGATAGCGCAACCCTGGTATTTTTATCGATTTGCCCAGCTCTCCTTTTTCCAACATGGCAATAACCGGACCAAAAACCTCATCATTTTCTAGCTCTTTTAGCCACCTACTTCTTTGTTCTACCTCTAGTCTGCTCACAACGGCCTCACTTGCATCCGCATTTTCCCAGACTCCACGCTCTATAGAGCCCCTACTTAAAGCATCTGCTACGACATTAGTCTTTCCCTTCACATACTTTATTACCAAATTGTATCTTTGCATTTCTAGTGACCATCATAGTACTCTAGCCGATACGTTACTCCTACTGAAAAGCGCTGTCAAGGGTTGGTGATCTGTCAGAACTATAGTAGGAAGTCCGTATATGAACATGTGGAAGCGTCTTACCGCGAACACTACGGCTAAAGCTTCCAAATCAGTAATGTGGTACCGCCTCTCTGCCTTGCTGAGTCCTTTCGAGGCAAAGTATACTGGGTGTACTAGCCCGTCGTCCCCCTCTTGGGACAGCACCGCTCCTAACCCTACCGTAGATGCATCTGTACATATCACGAATGGTCGGGATCCTTCCCTTGCTTTCTCGATATCCGGCTGCATCAATACAGGCGCAGAGGCTATCATTTTCTTCAGCTTAGAAAATGCTTCTTCATGCTCTGCCTCCCATTTCCACACAGTTTTGGGTGAGGTCAACGCAAATAAACTCCCCGCCACCTTGGAAAATCCAAGGCAGAATTTGCGGTAGTATGATGCCATGCCGAGAAATGTTCTCAGCTCTTTGGAACTTTTCGGCACCGCATACCTCTCGATTGCTTCTACTTTTTTGGGATCCATGTGCACTCCTTCACAGTCGATCACATGCCCCAAGAACGCCACTTTTTCTTGCAACAAAACGCACTTCTTCGCCTTCAATTTTAGTCCCGCTTCTTGCAAGCTTTTGAATACCTTACCAAGTAGCTCAAAATGCCTCTCTCGTGTGTTTGTACATAAGATTATGTCGTCGATGTAGCAGAAAACTTCATCCCCTAATACATCTCGTAGTACTGAATCCATAAGACGTTGGAATACCGCTGGACTTGTACTCAACCCAAAAGGAGTTACTCTGAACTGGAACAACCCTTCTGTTGTCGTAAATGCCGACTTCTCCCTTGCTTCCTGTGCCAGTGGTATCTGCCAGTACCCCGA